ACAACTTTTTTTTATTTTCAGAATCAAAGGAGCCTTGTTGTTCATGACAATAACTTTGATTGGTTCTGGCTGGACGTTTATTAAGCCAGTACTAAGCCAAAAAGACAAGAAAGTGTTTGTTATTGTTATTCCATTACAGGTATAGAAAAAAACCATTTACTCATTTACAGATATATACCGCCTAAATCTGAAACTTGAAATAAATGTAATGTAATGTAGTTAGATTTACATAGTACTTTATTCCGAATACTGTACTCAAAGCACTCGAGGTGTGGACTAGCACATACAGTAACTTCTCCCTTATGGGTCTCTTCATGTCTGAGCTCTCCGGTAAACCGGTGCCAGCTACTTTTGTCTGTCCACAACAGAGGCTATATGGACCAGTAAACCAGGGTAACCCCCTACTTGTATTAAAAGATGTATTGGGTTAGCCAAATTGTTTACACTGGCCCTACAGTTTATAGTCTTATCCGAGAAGACTTGTTCCACCAGCAGAAAAATAGTGTGCTGTTCGAATCAGCGCCGATATTATAGCTCTACGTTGCGGTGTCCCTACCTTAACTGCTCGGCATTCGAATCACTTTATGAGAAGTAAAATGGATGGATTAATTTGTTTTCTAATAAAAATTAGATGAAAATTAGAATGTGAAATGTTATTTATAACGTTCACAATATTTTTCTTAATTTCTAGGTGTTGGCTAATGTAGCGTACATTATCACAGATACTTCCGAAGAGGGCAAGTCCGACTATATTACCTGGAAATCTATTTTCTTATTGGTGGATGTGTTGTGTTGCGGGGCAATCCTGTATCCAGTCATCTGGTCTATACGACATTTACAGGATGCATCACATATCAATGGCAAGGGTGAGGATTTTTTGTGATTATTGTTGTCGTCATCATTTTCACCCTGATTAATTATGTATGAGGCTTGCCATCTAAAAACCTGCCTGCTGTCGCTGTGAAACTGATTAATTAGCATAAGAATGTGGCAGTGTTTTATACTGCTGCCCTGCTCTGAGAAAAGGCATTAAGTAACAAAATCCTAGTTTTGAGTAAATGAGCAAAACGCGTTTGAGTTTTTCCCAAGAAAAGTATACATGATTTCAAATTTTTAAACCTATGGTTTTCTTAGATATATTATTAAAAAATTTTCCACATACTTTTCATTGACTAATTTTATTATTAAGGGGGCCAAAATGGAGATAATGCCTTTTTTCAGAGTATTTATAACTATGAATGTAAATAAATACTTTTGAAATTGGGCATTATCTGCAAAAGTGTTTATAAACATGCATTAATTATTAATTGATTGAAGTGTATGTATATAAAATTTAATCTATAGATTTATAACATATATTTTATAAAAATCTTGCTCCAGAAAAAGTGAAAATATCCAAATACTTGAAACCGCAAAATCTTCTATTCAATTTTTAAAAACCGAAGTATAGGTATGAAATTTAAAGGTTAGTGTAAAAATTGAAGGCTAGTATACTCTGACATTATAAAATGGTAAATTTAATAAATGTGTAAATGAGGAAAATGCAGTTAGGGGAGAGGGAAGGAGCCGGTGTTGTCGGGAGAGGGGGGGGTGAGGTATGATAGAGTGAAAATATTTTAAACTTATTTTATTTAATGTTCGGTAACTAAAATGTCATATTTTTAAATCTCTTCGTCCTCTTAATCATTATCATCCACATTATCATCCTCCACATCATCATCATTATAATCACATTATCAATTGATAATTAGAATATCATAATAATTAAATCGTTATCGACTGATAATAAAATAGACAAAGCATTATAATTTCAATTTCAAAGTTTATTGATAATAACTTGTTAATTAACAATAACTTGCAGAAAAATATGTATAAAAATGGTGTGCTAATTTTAAATATAAAATTAATCAATTTATATTTATTAAGTTATAATATACATTGCAACTATTATTTTTACAGTGATAATGATACAATACAACATAGGTTATACAAATGAGTACAAACTATTTCAAAAGTTTTATTTACAATGCTTCGACTTTTACATTTAAAAAAAAATAGTTATTTACACTTTTTCTTTCAAAATTGCATTACTCAATGTCCCTTCCTCGAAGTGGAGCACGATCTCGATGGCGAAAATTGTGTCTGTCCATTTTTGGTTTACCACTTAGTTGCCTTAAAGAGTAATAATAATGATGATGATAATAATAATAATAATAATAATAATAATAATAATAATAATAATAATAATAAACACAATACAAAACATACAATGTCGATAAAACAAAAAATAATACTATGGTACTAAATAATAATAATAATAATCTAAATTTACTACTTAATAGGTATGAAACATAATAAAATACAATATTGTACTTACTCCTCCAAAAGACTTCTAAAAAGGTCTTGTGCTGTAACTTGCATCATTTCAGCAAAAGTATCGCATTAATCACAGAATTATAAATAAACGCTGTAAAATATATAGCATATAATGCACTTTCTCAGAGTATTCTTTGAAATAAAGTAGTTACTAACTAGGCATTATCTGATAAGCATTCCAATCTAATTAATTAGATATTCGTTATACTAGCATCTGATTGGTTACTTACTATCTGTCTTGCGTGAAGTCAAGCATTCAATACATGTATGTAAGGCTTCGCGCACATAATGCCTTTTCTCAGAGTATTTATAGTGAAATTTGCAGATAATGCCCAATTTTAAAATAAAATTTCATATTTCCAGACATATTTTTGGAAATTAGATAAAATAGGGTGATAGATTAGACATTCAGGAGTCACAAAAGCTAAAAATCTCAATTTTGAAAAAAATGTACTTAATGCCTTTTCTCAGAGCAGGGCGGTATAGTACAGAGAAGCTGTAATACTTTTACTCATAACTTTGGCAATGGTAAGTTGATTCCAGTAAATTACATCAATTTAAAGCTGATAATGTAGAGAATAAGACTGAAGAATATATGTAAAAGTCAATTTTCATTCTGTTGTCACTAATGCTGGTGTTGGATAGCAAGCCTCATATTTTAAGATTGTTACTGTTGTCATTATCATCTGTATGGTCATCAATAATATTTATTAATGCTTTTTTAGTATCATTACCAACATTATTAATTACTGTTGTATACAACACTCTCCTACTCTTACTCCTACTCCTACTCTTTTTAAAATATGTACCATGTTTATTCAAATTACACATGTGACCGACAGGTTAACAAGGACAAGGTAGTAGAGCAAAGTTCTCACACAAGGACTGAAGCAAGAACAGCTTTGAAAAGTTACATACTCATCTCTTTTGCACCATAGTACAATCCATTAATTCTACCTCACCCAAGATATTATCATTATCAGCACTTATTAACTCTAAAATCAGGCTTGCCATGCTAAAACCACCATACTGTTGCTAAATGTTAAATTAACATAAGAATGTAGCAGTATTGTATATTTTTACTCAGAATTTTGGCAATAGTTAGTTAATTCCAGTAAATGACCTTTCATTTTATAGCTTCTTGTGGAGAATATGAATATATTAAAAGGCCATTTTTTTAGGTCATTTGTCATATCGCCATATTTTTATGGTCTATTATCTTTCATTATTACAGTAAATACTATACTCTTATTTTTATCATAAATTTTAACAAATATACTTGTGCAGTCCTAA